TATTATTTTTATATATGAGTATAAAGCAAGGGAAAAAATATCACATAATTAGTGAAAAATGTCGGACTTTTACCAAATCTCGTTTATAAAAATCCGAACTGCAAAAATCATTCAGTGTTTAACCAAACTATTTTGAGTATCCTAGGTTTTACCGAAATAAATCAGTAAATATATTTTATAACATAAAATTCGGACATTTACCGACCACAACCGATAAATCCTAGATTTTTCCGATACTGGTTCTTTTACCGTAACATATTTTTAAAAAAAAATAATAATAAATTATCGACTTTGTTTTATTGTATAATTTATATATTTAATTAAAGAAATTTAGCAGGACATTTTTAAGAAAACTATTATAAGTAATTTTTGAGCATCTTTTCTAATTAGCTTACTTTTCAATAAATGTATTGTCTAATAGAGAATTATAGAGCTATTAAGAATTGTTTGGTACGTTATTTTTGAATATCATAGTGTATATTAAGATTTGTTTTGTTGAAATAATTAATTTTATGTTGCAATTACTTATTATTCATTACGCGTATGTGTAACATATTCATCCCGTAGTTAAAAAAAAAACATTTAACACAAATAAACCTAAAATTTTTCTTTTAAATTATTTTTTATACAAGTGTATTATCTATATGTGTTCTTATACTCACTGTATAATTATTAATGAGCCATAGATAATTATCGATTTCTAAAACTACTAAAGTATCATTCAAAGACAGTTTGCCTACTTTAACCTACAGTTAATAATTTTTGCATTATTATAATAATAATAATAATAATATAATATAATATAATATTTTCTTTTAGATTTTAATTAAAGATATTAAATTAATGTTTCGCTCCTTTTTTAACCAAAACATAGTACATAGTACATAATGTGTATTTATGAGATTGACTTGGATAATTATGTTAGTTAATTTATAAGAATATATTACTGATTAATATTTATTGCGATTTCTTATTGCTGGTAATGTACGTTAATATTTATTTATTTTAAATTAAATCTGTATATATATATATAACTGACTGTTGTAATATTGGTTATGAATTGGATATTTTTCTTTTTTATTAAAAATTGTTTTGTAACTGTATACCAGCAGTTTTATGGAACAACTTTTTTGAGGTAGGAAATTTATTTTTAAAACTTAATTTTTTGATTTTCTTATTGGTTTTACCAGGCATTAAAAAAAGGAGACACTTAACTAAAGAGATAATATTAAGTTTTACCCCACAAGGCCACAACCGTTTATATTTTTATAATAAAATGTGAAATTTGATTTTCTATACCTTGAAAATATTATGCACATGAATATGACTAGAAAAAAAATCATAGACTCACTACCAATATCTTAATTATATTTGTATTAAGAGTTACTATTTTTTTTTTTTATCTTAATTTATTCTTAAAATAAAGTTTTCTTCTTTTATATTTCAGTAAATAGCTAAGTTTTGAATAATATAACTTAATATTAAAAATGCAATGCTCTAAAATATCAGAAAATGGGTTTAAAAAATACATTAGTAGATAGTTAACTAATTTCTTCGTGTTAGAATATATGTTTGATGTTTAAATGCTGGACATTTAAAGGGCTACTCATTAATTTATGGTTTCAACTTAAATTATAACAATATTATGTATATAATAATAATAATAATAATAATGCTAATAAGTAATAATTTGCTGTAATCTTTAAAACAAAGGATAATTAAAAAAAATAAACAATTAATAATAATAATAATAATAATATAATAATATATAAGTAATAACTAATAAACTTGAATGTAATAAATCATATTTTTCCAATCTAGTGAAATAGTTATTTTTAATAATATAATTTATTTTATTGTATGTTTTAAGGTTTGTTATTTGAACAGATTAATTAAGTATGACATGAATTTATTCCATAGAAAAATTGAATTACAATTTTTCTAAAATATAATTTCGATCTTTGTTCAGAAATGCTTTTTTTATGCACGACGATTGTAAGAAATATTCTTGGTTTCTCGTTGCGATTTTTACTAAGTTCGTATTATGTTGTACCACCCGTCACTAGTATCCTTTCTAAATAAACGATAAATATCCAGTCACCTCATATCCTCGAAACTTTGTTGACAATTTTGTATATTTTTACCAACATTTTTTTTTTCTAGTAACAAGTAAAGTATCTTTAATAATAATATAAGTATTATATTCATTATAATTGTGTGCATATTTTAAACTAAACCACTAATTATTTACAAGATAAATATTAATCCATATTATTTTTTGTATATATGATTGTATAAGTTGTTCTTCTGTAGTTATTAATGATGTGTATTTATTTTAATTAATGAAGTAAAAAAGTTTAACCAAATTTATGAAGCGTATATATTTTTGAAATGTTATATGTTACATAAAATAATAATTTTGATGGTCATATTTGTCTATCATTGATATCGAATTTATAATTTTCATTTATATTTCATTCAGAAATAAAACTAATAATTTTATATATTTTGACTTGAAAAAATTATTTTCTGTGAAAATATAAAAATAAAGTATTACTTAAAAATAATGAATATAGTGGTCCATGATTTTAAAAAAAGGTTGAGTGTATCTGAAAATTATTTTGTTCCTTTATAAATTAAATTCTGACTTATAAACGTGTATTATAACTAATCGCACTTTTTTTTTTCAATTTGTGATCAATTTTTTTCTGCGGTTGTATGGACCAAAAGTTTTTTATAAAATGAGTAATCAATTGATATTTGGTATTTTTGAATACGTATTTAGATTTAAATAATAAAAGCAATGGTACATATCATTATTATTAAATATCTATATTTTTTTTTTATGTTGTATTTGTTTAACTATTGAAATTTTGACATAATAAAAAAATAATATTTATTGCATGAAGTTATCAAATCGTTTCCATACAAACGTAATATTTGTTGTAAAAGTTGCACGCAATTTGTGGATATTTATTTATTCATATAAATCATACAGGCACAAGGTCTAATTATAATAAAAATGGTATACATTTTGTTCACAACCAAAAGCTAAATTCACAAAAACTATTAACAAAAAGATCAATGTTATACATACATATTATACGTATGAATATGATTTATGATAACTTTAATAAAACCGCCTATGAATTATAATATATGCTCAGTAAAAATATCCGCAGGTTAAGTACATTTTAAGTCCATTACTATTATTGTTTTTGTTTATTTTATATCGGCAATAGCGTTTATTACATTCACTTGTTATTGGGTGCAGTATTTTATTTATTTGTTTTCATTCGCTAGGCTTCAAAACAAACGGTTGAAAAGTCCATGTTCAACTCTACACGAAATAATATAAGTTTATGTACAATTAAACATCGAGTCGTGTAATTAGTGGTAGGATGAATTTTTGTATGGCTGTGTCCCCTCCCGATCCAACGCGTACCACTTGACTAAAAAAGACCAGTAGTTGTAGTCATCATATAGTCGGGTGGCCGCCCGCCGACACATTCACTCCCCTCCCCAACTTAAATGACGACACGCTCTCGAAACCACCGACGCCTCAATATAGATCTTGTAATAATCATCCACGATATTAGTTCAGTCAACCGCGTGGCTTTCGTGTGTGCAGTTAGACGTTATTCTCGTCGTCGTCATCATCGTCGCGTATTTTATTGTAATAATAAACATAATAATACATTTTTATAACAAATAATTTAATATTTTTTTTAAATCAATCCAATAGTTAAAAAAAATCAACAGCGTGCATTTAGGAATAAAAAGTTCAGGCAGGTACCGACTATACTTTTTTCTGTTATTTTACAACATAAGGTTATGTGATTTAATATTTTGTCGCACTTATTAATTTTTTAAGTTTTCCATCATCGCGTTGGAATGTATCAAAACGATGGTAGTTTAGCATTAATATTATGTGCTTATGGTACTGACTAAATTTAATATATTATTACCTATATACTTTTTCCAAATGAAAAGAAAACAGTATTTTACCAGCCACTCGTGTAGCATTATTAAGAAATTATGAAATAATTTCATTTTTCATCATCGCTTTATTTTCCCCGCATAGTGACGTCCCGTGCACTCAACTCTATTGAATGGCAACGTTCACTTGAATTATGTATGCTGGATGGTATAGTACGTGGGTCGCATTTACAATTACTGTACATTTGATTTTAAAGACAGCCATATGTAAAATATATTTATAAAGTTAACGCGCAAAATTCATTCCCTGTTGTAGGCGAATGCCTATCGTGTTGCCACAGCGTCAATGTATAGCAGACACGTGTAATAATACTCTTTTCGGTCATTTTGTATAATATCGTGTGAAAGTTTACAAAGTATCAATATTATTCAGTATTAAAATTATAACTTGTTTAAGAATAAAACATGAATGGTTCAATCACCAAAGGTCATCACCATTGAGAAAATATTTCATGTTCAAATTTGTGAAAACGAATCGAATATAAATTGTTATTCCATCGTGAGATACATAAATAAGCGTATTTTCACCTATGGCTTCTTTGCATAAGCTGAAGACTTATTTACCCTCGATCGCCATTGGCCGTATATCGGATCAGCACCGATTATAATATTGTGTAGACGACCATGATAACATTTTCATCGTGTAATTAATTATATTTTTTCGAGAATACAAACAAATGTATACTTGTTTGTTAGTGAGGTCAACAACCATATAAACCTATAACCATATAAAACGCACTTACATTTTTTATGTTTATTTATAATTTTAGAATTTGTTTTTAATATTTATATTAAGTTTAGGTCAGTGTTTCCTGTTTATATTGTACCTTAAATTTTTCCTGGTTCAAAAATCTTCTTGTTTTCACTGTATTGAATACATGTTTTGTTACGTGAGTTCATTCGATTTACAAAAACTCGTACTCTTGCTGTTTTGTTTATTGTTTTTCTCCCACCATAATTCACTACGTTTTAATTAATAACATTTTTATTTATTATTTCAGAAATAACAGACTGGGACTAGTCACCGAACAGATCTAAAGTAAAAAATAAAAAATAACTATAAAACTTCATTTTTTAAAATGGCACAACTAGTCTTAAACATAATCGATAGTTACCACGACATAATGGACAACAAAAGTGGTAAGTAATTTTACAATATTACCTATTTTTTACTTAACAGTGTTATGTTTCAATTATGATATTACGTTAAAAAAAATAGGCCTTTATAATATTTTTAACTGGTAAATGAGGAAACATGACGACTTTTATTATCACCAAGGAATAAGAAATATGTAGATTTAGGTCATTAAATAATTTTCTAATTAATGTTAGTATAAGATAAACCCTATTATAATGTTAGAATGGGCGGGCCATATTTGGAGATCGGAAGGTATTGCAAAAAATCTTTTCACTGGAAGACTAAGCGGTAAAAGACCTAGGGGTCGACCAAGACAAAGATGGGAGGACAGAGTGAAAATGGATCTCACGGAAATCTCAGAAGAATTAATAAGGATTGAAGATAGCGAAGACAGAGATAGGTGGAAAGATGTGGTTGAGGCAGCTATGGTCCTAAATGGACTGTAAAAGCTTGAAGAAAAAGAAGATAAGATAAACCCTATACGTTTTCTTTAGCCGCACATATATTTTAAACTGAAATCATAAAATTTACGGGAAAAAATAAGAATAACAATAGTTTATAATTAGGGAAATCTCTAAAATAGAATTGTAAGTGTAAAATAAGATAAATTTATATTACAGAATAATATCATCATATCGTTTTATATTATTATGATATTTAATTTTTTCCCTTTTTTTTTATTACAAAATTATCAATACACTGTGCATAAATTATATTTATATGCTTGTATGACATGTATTCCTTGCAACCCTAAAATAAAAGTTAAGTTTAAAAATGAATTTATCTGATATTCATATTGCTAATTTTACACGCTTATTCATCGTAGAAAGGGGAGTTTCCGCCAAAATAATGTTGACCGTTTCCGCCATAAACGAAAAAGGTACGATTCCCGTTTGCGCTAAAAAAATTTGAAAACCATTGGTTTTAATTTTTAAGCAATATTGAATATATATTATGTTATGCGTAAAAGATATTTGTAATGTATAGGTATACTGATAATCTTCGATAATGATTGATAATCGTCGATAATAACAGTTTGAATATTATATTATAAAAATATATATATATAAATATATCAAAACTAACAATGCTCATAATAACATAAAAAAAATTCCAATGAAATTAGTAGATACACTTTTATCAAAACTGTTTCCTTTAATTATAAGATTTTTTTTAAACTTGAACTGTACTTACGAATGTAATTTTTTAAATCTTGACATATACTTGTATTATAATTTATATTTTTTGTGACATTTTTAAATATTTAAAAATGACGATATGTATTTTGCAAAACTATCGAGACAATATTTGACCTATACTTGCTTTATACTTTATAAATAGTTAAATAGAATGGACATATTATAATATGAAATTATGTAATAATTTAAAAACTATTATATAATTGTGCCTATATTCGACTAATATATTATTATTATCTACTTGTATTAAAATTTATAAAGAAAGAATATGTAACAATTGTACATAGTTCCCAAACGTCTTTTCACAAAAATACATTTTGGCGGAAACAGGAATCATACTTTTTTCGTTTTTGGCAAAATAGGGCTATGCGTAAATCAGGGAACCGGATTTTTGGTGGAAACGGTACATTCCCGTAGAAAGTACGCGGTATCTACCAGTTGTACTACACGGGACATCCATGGCAGCTCCAACTGTTATCGAAGGCATTCTGGTTTTTGTTGTACACACCATAAAATCCCTTCCTTAAAACAACCGATATCTGGATATATTCTACATTACCAAACAAATCGTTAATTATTTTTATTTTTATTCTTTTATCGCAGAATTGAGTCAATATTCAATACTTGATGATGCTCGAACACACTGGTTATAAATAGAGCTTGGATTTTGATGCAAATGCATTTTTTTTTTTTTTTATGTCCCAACACGTAGGTCCGTAAGAAGTAAATGTGTTTCAAATGGTACTGATTAATTTAATGTATTTTTTATTTTGTATTTGTTTTGCATTTTTTGAAAAATTGTCTTTGGTTATAATTATTAATGGTAAAAAACCCATAGTTAAAAATGTATGTTGCTATTTGTAATAACCATAATTTAATAAAAATTAGTAGCAGTAATTTATCATTGATTGGTGTTAAACAAATTTTTATTTATTGGTATTGTTATTCGATTGTTGTTATTATGGGATAAAAATTGTAAGTGCTTTAAATTAAAAATATATTTAAATAAAAATGTAAGTATATACGATTTAAAACTAAACTAATTATTAATAATTATTAATGTAAACATCATTATACTTAATTTTATTCAAAAATAAAAAATGGTCAGCTATACAAAATTTTTTATTTCCTGCTACGGTGTTTTTCCGTCGATACCTGTGATCACGTAAAAATAATTGTTATTTCAATTATCTTATAGATTTTTCAGTTTAATGCGTATTGTTAATTTATGATTCTGACAATTATTTTCTGACCTTAGTTTTAATTTTATTATATATGTTAATTATACATTTTTTAAAGCTGTATATTTAAAGTATTGTTGATTTTAGTAAAGGTAATTTTTTTAGCATACGATAATATTATAATCTAAACCAAGCAATTTTTAAAAATTGTACTAAGTTACTTTTATTTTTACTTTCACTTATATTGACAGATACCTATGCTGTATAAATAATTAAAACAATTTAATTTAAAATTGTTTCACTATTTTTTAAAAACATAATTTTGAATAGTGTCTTGTTTTTAAATATGAATTTCTCATTTCTCATTTTGTTTATATTTTTAATTAGTTTTGCAGTTAAATAGTACATAATGTATATCAATTAATAAACACATATAAACAAATATATAATGTATATATATATTTGTATTCATTTATAAACAAGATATATTTTTTATTATATTTAATTCATGATGGGAGTATAAGGCCGATTAAATACTTACAAATTGTTTTATTAGTAAACGTCTTATTTATCTTAAAATAAACTTTTTATTTTAAAAATATTTTACGAACTATTTCTGAATAAGATTTAATTAACTTTTGTTTACTTGAATTAAGTAATTTTATTTCTTGTTAAACCAGTGCTCGAATTGGTTAAAATTAAGTAGAGGAGCTCAATCCAAAAATTAAAAAACTGTGTTCCATGAGCTGAATTATATTACACAAACCTGTGAGGAGGCTTTACTCCCTACATTCCCTTCCACCAATCTTACATGTATTTTGAATACCACTTTTCAGTGACTGAAGTATTTAAATGCCAAATATTATTATCGATAATATTAATGACAAACTATAAAATGAATAAAGTATATACCAAAAATATTTAATTTATTTATTGTATGGCAAAATATTATATCATTTAACAATCAATAGGTAAATACAAAACACAACAAATAAGTAAATATATGTAAAACATAAAATATAGCTCAGTAACAAGTGATATTTTAGTATAGTGAAGTAACAAATAGCAATAATAAAGATAGTTATAATTTTAATATATATATATTTCGGTTTATGTTTTTAAAATTTGGTTGGGATAGAAATGGTATGATTTTAGATTTTAATGTTCAAGTTTGAGATCCACACGATGGCTTCTGGCGTAGCCATGTGAAGGTTGTTCATGTCTTCGCCAAATAATTTGTTTGGACTTTTTTTTTTTTAATATATTCTATTGCTTGTATCGTACTTCCGCAATCACATTCTGGTGTAGGTCTGAGACCCCAGTTGCATATCATTTTTCCAACTTTCCCATGTCTTGTCTGATTCTATTTAGTGTGGCCCATTCTCTGCGTTGTAGGTGCAACCCAAGTTGTCTGATCGTTGGATTTTTGACAAGGTTCAATGTGTTTGGGTTTTCGTCATTCCATTCATCGATCCATTTGGAATTTGGGTTGAAGCCGTCCGAACGCAGATATCGAGCAAGTCTCGGGGGGGGGGGGGTTTACGTGATTTTAGTCTTTGTATTTAGTCGTGGTTAATGTCTTAATGAATAAGCAGGTCACTATTCAAAATTTATTTGTCCCATTCCCTTAAGAGTACATTCTACATATATGGGGGGAGGTGTTATGTTGCTTAACACAGAAAGTCATTGGACAGGTGTAAATTTTTTAGTCCCTGTTATTGTTCTTAGTATTTCATTTAGTCGTATATTGATTTTATTCACGTGTGCAGAGTTAATTCAGACTGGGGCACAATAAACAGGCATAACAATAAGGCCACTGAATAAGTAAGAGCCATTGCTGATATTCTTAATGTGTTAGGATCAGAACCCCAGTTAGTGTTAGCAATTTTTCTAATAATATTATTTCATGTTTTAATTTTTGTTGCAACCTTTGTTAAAAGGTTCTTGTAAATCAATGTCCTATCTAGGGTCACTCCAAGGTATGATATAGGTGTCATATGATAGTTGATTATTTCTTTTCCATCAAAACTAATATTTATTTTATGCTTAGCTTGTCTGTTATTTAGTTGAAAGATTGTCTTGGAGTGGTTTAGTCGCAGTCTCCATTTTTTTCAATATTGATTTAGTTTTTCCACATCGTTGGTAAGGTTCACCTTGCATACCTCATAGGTCTTCTGTGTTACCAAGGTAATATCATCAACGTACATATATTTGCTCAATTTAGTGTTTGGTAAATCACTAATATAAAGGTTAAATAATAATGGGCCTAATACTGAGCGTTATGGAAGTCCATTGTTAAGCACCCTTAACTTGGTATTGTTATCCCCTATAACTACCTTAAATAGTCGGTTACTTAACATTGCATTGATTATTTTACACAGGTCAGGCAGGGATTGATTTTTGGATTTAGACCCTCATGTCATACTGTACCAGGTGATTGTAAACTCCATCAATTTTTTTTTCTTACCTGTAATGGGTATATGTAAACTCCCCCAGTTTTTTTTATGTTTTGCTTATGAATCCTTTCATAGTCATCTAAGAAATTCGTTTTATAAAAGTCAACCGAAAGTTCATATTTTTAGTAAAGTTTTTACCGAATTTCAAACCTATACTTTATAAAACTAAATGGCATACCTCAAGTAAATAAGCTAAAAATTCGAAATAAAAAAAATACAGTATTACAGGATGCTGTAAATAGGTATTCTAATGGTGTAATACAAGACTTAGAATATTTACAAATTGTATCACATCATTTTAGTTTACATACATGACATAACTATTTATTTTTGGATTATTAGGTATTACGAATATTTATTATGTTTTTTTTTCTGTGATTAAAATATTTAATGTAAACGATATCATATTATAATTTTTTTTTTAATAATATATCATATTAATTTTATACTACTACTTCTTTTCTTCACCAGCGGAGTTTACATGAACTCAATTTTACCTGATTTTTTTCAGTGGCAGAGTTTACTTGAACCCAATTTTACCTGTTTTTTTTTTCTGGTGGAGTTTAAAGTAAAAAAGGTACTTTTGGTGAAGTTTACATGCGCCCACTGTATCGTAGACCGCCGTCAAATCAATAAATTTTATCGCAGTTTTCATTTGATCTTCATAGCTCTTTTCAATACTTTTGATAATGGTTATTACTTGGTCACAGCAGCTGCTATTATACCTAAAACCCGCTTGTTCTATGTGGACAATGATAAGAATCACTCCAAAAAAGTTATAACCAATTTTAAAGCATGCTTTCTATTATTTAATTTAAACTGACGATTTTAAGCTCGGAAAATGTAGGACCTATTTGTGAGACAGTATAATATAATTTTTAATATTTAGATATTATTTTTTTCAATATGTTTTATATTCGGATTTTTTTAACTTGATTTGAATACTGTTTACATTTTCGTCAAAAATTTGAATGCTTTTTCTACAGTAAGGCAATCTTAAGTTACCTTACGTCTTTTTTTTCTTGTAACACTTTCGTTCCTTAAAACCTTATAATTAAATTAAAATCACCTCTAGTTCTCTAAAAGTTGAAGGTCTTACGTCTGAATTAAAATAAAAAATCAATTTCTCGAAATAATTACACAAAAAAAAGTCATAATTTAGAGTAGAACAATTAAAATCTATAAAATCTCTCAATGCATACAATTGTAACAGAGAAAGTATTAAAATTTATAATAACGTGATTTATAACTATGACAATTATTAATGATTTTTCTAGTGAAGTATATTTTATACTTGTAAAACATTTATCTAGAAGATTTTACATTTCGAAATCTTATATCAGTGTTCTCAAACTGGGGGTCACGAACCTCTAGATGGGGGATTGCATCGGTCAGAAATAATTGAACATTAATGTAGAAAATCAATCTTTGATTTACATTAAAGATAAAGAAATAATAGGTACATAACTATAATAATACAAATAAAAGGTTAGATTATAGTGTAAATACACTATAAACTATGAATAATGAATTAAAAAGTATAAATTAATGTGATATTTGTGACTTTTTATGCCCAAAAGTTTGTTTAGTCGTGGTTTGACATTGGAAAAACGTATAAGTTAATTATTTTCTAATGATAACAGACAATTTTGCATTTAGTTTTTAATGACACTATGAAACAGAAGGCATGGAAAACATGTTTCATATAAGAAAATAAGTGGCGAATGGAACTAATGTTTTCAATTGTTTCTTGAAAAAACATTGAAAATGAGGTGTTTCGATCATTAAAAAAAAATCGTAATTTAAAAAGTCATGTTTTCCTTTCGTTAAAGGTTAATGATGTAATGTACTCATGTTTAATAACTGGTAAAAAATAATAAAAGCTTTAACTAGTTTTTATTATTATGGGGGGGGGGGGTCATAAGGTGACTGAATCACATTTTATCCTTTTTTGAGAGTGGTAGGTAACGTTAAAAAGATTGAGAAACGCTACTTTGTATAGCAAACTAAAAATTATAATGCATATTACATTGTATTTTTAGATGTTAGAAATGTTTTAATATATTTCATTTCTATGCACTAAAAATTAACATAAGATTGTTAATATAAAAATAAATAGCCTGGGGTATTATCATATTAAAGACGTGATTTTATTGAATTAGTCTATATTGATAATGAATTTCAAACCGGTCATACATTACAAATATAATAATACTCTAGACTAGACATTTATTTATTTTATTACCTTAGATTATAATTTGTAAATTTTATACTTCAGTATGAAGAATAATTTTGATTTTCGTACAGATTATTTTTATACGATGCATTGTTAAACATAAATATTAAAATATTTTAACAAATTGTTGTTATTATGGGATAAAAATTGTGAGTGTTTTAAATAAAAAATATATTTAAATAAAAATATTAGTGTATACGATTTAAAACTAAACTAATAATTAATAATTATTAAAGTAAACATCATACACTTAATTGTATTTAAAAATAAAAAAAAGTCAGTTATACAATATTTTTTTGATTTCCTGCTACGGTATTTTTCTGACGAAACTTGTGATCGCATAAAAATTTGTATTATTATTTCAATTATCGTATAGATTTTTCAGTTTAATTCGTATTGTTAATTTATGATTTTGTCAATTATTTTCTGCCCTTAGTTTTAATTTTATTATTTTTGTTAATTAAACATTTTTTTTAAGCTGTATATTTAATATATAAAAGCTATATAATATATAGTAAAGGTAATTTCTTTATCGTTCGATAATATTATCATCTACATCAAGCAATTTTTAAAAATTGTCCTAAGTTACAGTCAAATACGAGTATATTAATTAATAAACAGCATATATTTATTTATTATATTTAATTCATGATGAGAGTACGAAGCCTATTAAGTACTTAAAATAATTGTATTATCATAATCAAACAATATCATATTCCAACATTGAATAAATAAATATATAATCAAAAGTTATATATCAATTTTAGGACAGAATTTGATTTTAGCTTATACGTTATAGTGATTAATATTTTAATATTCCTACCTAACTAATAATTAATATTTTTGCGCCTATAATTTGATATCTGAAAACAACTTGAAATATTTAAGCTCTATATGGTACACATAGTTTTTGTAAATTTGTGACTGATCATGTGTAATATTTGATTACACTACTAACTTTAAAATAATATTATTCTTAAACTTAATGTAATATACATTGACTAGCTGTAAAATTATACCAATTATAATATCCTTATTATACTCATTATATTTTTTAAATTAGTTTAAAGTCACTCATTTTTTGATTATATTAACGTATACTCGAATGTAATCATATATGTTAATTTTCTTTAAGTACCTATTTGTAAATAATATAATATTATTGTTTTTTGATCAACCCTCAACAGTATTATTGTATTGGATCGTATTGGGCTTCTCTTAGAAAAATAAAAATGTTTAGAAACACAAAATTGTATATTATTAGGACTCAGATTTAAATGCCCTAAACAAATCAAAAAATGTTCTAAAAGTATCAAAAATACTCCAAAAATGAAATCTGTAGTTACAACATGGAGTACTTGAAATACATTTGTAGCTTGGAAAGCATCGTGTAAGATATTCCAAAAGAAAAATGTAAATGCCTTAAAATCCGAGCCAAATAATTTATATTATTGTTCAAATGACATTTGAACAATATGAGAAATAAACAATTGTTTTAATAATTTATTAAAAACACGTTATTATTATAATTATATAATATATTATATAGCTTATATTAAATTTAAGAGTAAGAAGTCCTTTGTTCAAGTTTATACAAATTACTTTTCGATTTTGTTTTAAAAATTAAAAATAACAAATTATTCGAATGCTTACAATGTCGACAGTCATACATTATATAATGGTAGTTTCTAGTTATATCCACTATATTGTATAATTAAATTTTAAGTTTTATATGAAAATATGTATACTTAACATTTAATTTAATTTCATGTTTTTATTTTAGATGCCAGAGTTAATGGCTGGCCAATGTTGTCCAGCCCGTTTCCGACATTGTTTATATGTCTATTTTACGCTTATTTTGCTAAAATACTTGGACCTAGACTAATGGAAAATCGAAAACCTTTTCAACTTAGAAAATTGCTTATAGTTTATAATGCAATACAAACTGTGTTCAGCGCTTGGATATTCTATGAAGTAAGTATCTACCTAGTTTGTTAGTCATGTGCACTATTTTTCCATTAATGAATATTCGATTATTAAATAATGTGATAGGAATGTAGTGATACGTAAATCATAATGCAAACGTGTGTTTGTGTCTTGTGTTTTCGCGTATGGTTTTCTCATTTTGAATCTTAACCGAATGATGATGCACTTGGTAAACAAACAACAATACCATATGTTCTTCTGATAAATTACTATTGATGTGTTCTTTTTAAACATTTAAGTAACTATAATTGTATCATAGTGTTAGTAAAGAAGCATAAAAGTGTTACTTGCAACATTATGGAGTGATTAATTACCATTAAATAATTTATAAATTGTAAATATAGATATTTCAATATTTTTTACAATTATTGTTTTAATATAACCAACTATTATTACAAGTAACAATTTATTTTTATTATAATTTGTTTTTATTATATTTTTATTATATCCCTGGAGAGGTTGAAGCTGTATATAACTATGTGTCCGCTTGTGAATATTATCCTCGAATCATATTTTTCGATGAAGTCTTAATTAAAAATAAAATTAATATTAATTTCTTTAAAGTACAAATAAAAATTTAAAAATTGCATTAATTTCTCACAATTCCTTAATTTTTTTTTTTTTATTATTAATTGTGCTGCTAATGATTAATTTTAAACAAGGTTTGGAACTTTATGCACTAAGAAGTACTCAAATATGCGCATACATATTCGTTAAAAAACATCATAATGTACAGTATAATATGCAGTAAAAATTTGGAAAATATACAAAAATGTGCAATTTATTGAATAAAATACAATTTACATAAATTAGGTACATGGAGAGAAAAATTTAAAAATTTGCACACTGCACACTTGTGTATTGTTGTGCCTTCCTGTTATACAAGTGTATAGCTTAAGTGTATTAATCTTAATTGTATAGCTTAATTATAGCTTAAGCTATATAATCTTCATTTAATCTTTAACCATTTTTAGTATAAATTTACAAGTAATGATAAATAATAATTTTTTTAATGGTCCAATAAAAATGTCTTGATAAATTTTTATTAAAATAAAATCGAACGGATCGGTGATCACTATTTTGATTTCTCAGTACAATAGAGATTATAACTTTATTATTAAATACATTGGGAACAATACTAAAATAGCCACTGATTACTTAATTAATTTTTTTCAAACTATATAAAATTTAGAATTTTGGTCTTGATATATCTAATATTTTTTATTGAACTATAAATTTGTAAAAAAAAAAAAAAAAATTTCGTTAAATATATGAAACATTCATATAAAAGTTCTTAAACCTAAAATATGCGAATTCCTACAAAAAATAACGAAATATGTCAAATTATAGAACAACAATTTTTGCATTTGGAATCCGTGTACTATGAATCCAATTTTTATCGAACGATAATTTCAATATGCACTTTCTAAACCAATATGCAGATGCCTAATATTTTGAGCCTTGATTATGAATGTTTGCCTAAACCTGTGATAATTATTAAAATGCAAGTATTATTATAGAACAAATTAATTTATAATTTAAAACATTAGTAATTTGTCATCATTTATAAATAAGTGTTTGGATACAATTTTATTCGGAACGTACTGAGTTTCTTGGGTAACATTAAATTACTTCTAAAATTAGGTCATATGTTGGTAGTATTATATGGGTATTAAATGATTAACTGATGACCATTGAACGCAGTGTATCCATTTTTGCGGATAATTTGTATGTTATTTTGTTGTAATGGGATTATTTAATTTCAAAGCTTTATTTAAAAATATTTTGATAAAACCGTATACATTTAAATTACTCAAAACGTTTGTACTGGTTTTTTGTCTCTTGGTTAATGCCAACAAACAAGTTATTATATAACCTTAATACATTTTTATTTCCTAGTTTTGCTGGTTTATTTTTATAATAACAGGAAACAAAACAAGTTTTATTTATTTTAATTATTTCAGTTAAATGATCTTAAACTTAGTAAATATCCTTCTATTTTATGAATTTTATTTAAATCTAGTTTAAAACCTCCGAATAAAATCCTTAAACTTAAAACCTTAAAATCAATTACATTTTTAAATTTGTTGAGTTTAAGTGTATGATAATATAAAGAAACATGGTTACGTTGTTTTTAGTAACTTATTTTAATAAATTCTTATATTTTAAAAATTAAAAAAATACATTTATATTATTTAATACGTAGGGGTAATAAATATCAACATTATAAATTTCAAATATGCACCTTTTGTTTTTCTACTATGTGTAACTTATTCAAAAATGTTTTGAGCATTCAACGAAATTAATAAAATTGAAAGTATATATTTTCTTTCTTTCATTAAAATCTACATACATGAACTTTTGTATAAAAGTATTTTCTAAAATTATTCAATGTAAATATACATATAAATATAAATACAACCTACGCTGTATTTTAATTTTAGTACCTACTCAATTTTTACTGAATAGATTACTGTACTACTTTTATTGGAAATATCTTATGCGTGTGTGTCGGAGGATCGAAATGTTTATTATTTCGCTATATTTTTAAGCGTAGTTTGGCAAACGTATGGTATATATAAATTAGGCCGAAATTCAACTGGCCGAATCCTCGATATTGTACGTCCAGACATTAGTAATCAATTGGTAAACGTATGTGACCCTAATATGTTTATACGAACTTATTTTTTTTTAAAATATTATATTTTATCTAGTTATTTTTGTTGAACAACAAATATAATTTAATTTAATTATCATTACATACCTAAAGGAAATGCCTCGTATTTACATTAACACTAGAAAAACAGATTTCATTCCTCAACTATTATATTTTTTTGAGATATATAGGCAGCTAACTTTCAAAGAAATTCTTTAAGTCTACTTTATGAGTCATATTGGACATTATAAAAGTCCACGCGTCATAATTAGTCTTCCTCCCGAAATTAGCCTTGAAAATTGAATAGATTACTATTCGTTTTACATTTATGTATGATGACGTTTTGTCGTTTTTTTCTGTGAAAACACCATAACCGTTTGCGAAGGTTAGGAAGGCCAAACCGAAGAAATATATGTGTTGTAACTAACGATAAAAATATATGGTTAATTTGGAATTATTGATGTTTTTTTTTTTGCAGTACATGATGAGTGGTTGGGGTGGATCGTACAGTCTAAAATGTCAGCCAGTTGACTATTCCAACAGCCCGATGGCCTTGCGAGTAAGTTTTTCTCGACTAGCCTAATTCTATTCATACCCATTATATTTTGTATATAATTTTAAATTCGTAATAATTATTTTCGTCGTGCAATTTTAGATGGCCCGCACATGTTGGTGGTACTACATTTCCAAATTCACCGAATTTTTTGATACAGTAAGTATGAATTTTACTTTAATTTAAATTTAATTTTTGATACAGTTAGTATGCATTCAACGATATTTTATATTAAGACATGTTGGAAGATTTTATAGGTATGTACTTAGGCTTTAGAATTAACATTATTCTCATACAAATATGCAACGCAATAATTGGTCAACATTTTAGTATTATATTCAACCTGAACTAGTTGGGTTAGCGCTTGCGCATAAATAACTGTAGTAGAAATAATTTACAGGCGTCAGATATAATACTATGTACATATATATATAAATCTAGTAATAGTACACTATAGTTTCTATAGTAGTCATCGCCATTCCGATAGTGAGGTGGAAAAATCGATCGACCAATGCCACACGAGCTTTCGTGTTATATTCGTACAATTCAATGTGATTGCCTTTTATATGTATCAGAAGGGGGTGACCGTTACTATTTGGAGGTGGTTGGACGTGGGGTACATTTTTGGCCTCTTTTCTATACGGAGAGAGGTCGACGATTGTATTACAACAATATTAATTATCGTAATATACGAAAAAGCTGATAGGTTCCCGTTGTGTTTCAGTTGTTTTTCATATTAAGAAAGAAGAACCAACAAGTGTCGACGTTGCATGTCATCCATCACGGATGCATGCCGATGAGCGTCTGGATGGGAATGAAATTCGCCCCAGGTACGTACACTCAATAGACGAGGGTGATGTACACTCATCTGTTTTCCACTTAATCTGTCGTCTAAGGCTGACAGTCTGTGAACGTGCAAAATATAGAAAATAACCTTGGCGCTCCGTTGACGTAAATTGTTTTTATTTTTTTAAATTCATATAGGCGGTCACAGTACCTTTTTCGCGTTGCTCAACACATTCGTACATATCGTCATGTACTTCTACTATATGGTGTCAGCGATGGGACCTAAATATCAAAAATACATTTGGTGGAAAAAATATCTCACCTCATTCCAAATGGTACTATAGTTTTTTTCTTTTGCTCATCTTTATTTTGAGCATGAATATAAATCTTCGGCTCTAAGTCGATTCATATTATAATATGTGTTCTCATTTTCAGCTCCAATTCGTGTGCATATTTATCCATCAGTTCCAATTGTTGTTCGTCGAATGCAACTACCCCAAGAGCTTCATGATTTGGATAGGTCTGCACGGCGTTATGTTTTTATTCCTGTTCTCTGACTTTTACAAATCCAAATATACCAGTAATGGTAAACGAAGACCGACAAATGACGGAGGATGCATGGTATGTTACATACTTTTATTACTTTCAAAGTTATAACTTAATGATTTTAATCGCTGTAAACGAACATTTCGGATCGAACCAAAGTGACCCTTAGAAAATGACAGTTTTTGTATTCCAGCAACCTTAAAAAAAAGTTGTTACGACGGTAAAATATTTTTGGTCTATTCATCATTTTTTATTTATCCTTTAGGACATTCTATTCGCATGCTTATATATTTACGCTAAATCTCACGAAAATCTATAATTAACTCATTCGACTTCCTTTAAGTCACCTCACTCGAAAAAGTACTGTATTCGCGTGTATATTAATACACATAACACACATAAAGACTAGTGCAATTGCAAAGTATATTAGTTAACCCCTCTAAAAATCTATCGCCGTTTTATTACTAGACGCCGATCACGTTCTGTAACCAAAAATACTTTTTTTATATCTTTGCAATTCCAATGTTTTTCTCGTTAACATTCAGTTGATCGCTTTTAAAACGTTTGACTAGTAAAATATAAATTACTTCCATCGTTATTCTTGTTGAACTCCGTACTAATACTTTGAAATATAGTACTAAATTAAATATAATATTAATCTTTTAAAATATTTATTATCTTCCAAATAATAAAAGTATAAATTAATCACCACAATGACTAAATCATTACGTGTTGAGTAAATAAGATAAAAATGATTCGAGTGTTTAATGATTATGGACAGAAATTAAATATTTCAACAAAACATAATGATTTTTTGATTTTAATTTTCTGGTACTCAAATACACATATTACCATGTCATAAATTGAACTAAAACGATCAGAGATTAAATTTATTATTTTTTCGGCAAGTTCTAATTTTTATACTGTCGTTCTAAATTTATTTATTATTGTTTTGTCATTAAAATACGACAATTTTTGATATCTTATCAGATATTAAATATTAAAACACTACAACCGTATTATATGACCAGAACATCTAACGTGAAATATTCTATTCGTTTAGTCTCTATGAAATATATTACATTTTTTCCTTTATTGATTGGAACGTTTACTGATTTGAAAATTAAATTATCATAAAATGTATTATTCATTGAATTAAAATTTATTTAATTGAAAAATCGACATCAATTTTGCATTAAATTTTACTTATTACTTTTACTTATTTTCTTATTACTTATATACACATACTTAATACATACATTTTTCTTTTTTAACACAAATTATATTCGTCCTCGAAAAACCTAAAACTAGAGGAATTCAGTGTATTATCCATCTCATAGGTATTCATGCTTATTTTTGATCTACATAAAGTTTTATCTTAAAAACTTATATATTCATTGGTCAAATAACATTGTGCTTATAATATAAAGCCTATTCTGCTATTGTTCGATGCTTCAGTTTTTAGCTATAAACGTACGTGGAATCAAAATAAATTAAATATGTATTAACACTAATAATAAATATTCTCCTTTAACTATTTTTTATTCTGCCTTTTACTTATTACATCAGAGTGTATACCATTATTATTGCTATTATTATTATTATTATTTGCCTGCATTTCTTTAAATATTAACAATGTACGTATATATATTTTTTCTTTTAAATTAACTTTCATTTTATTTTATGATTTTGTAATTACATAATATATTAACGAGGAGAGAAAATTGAATTAATACTTATGTATTAGTTAACATTTATCAATTATAATGACATTTTGAACACATTGTCTGTTGTTTAATTAGTAGTAAATATTGTATCACAGTATAATTAAATGCTTTGCATATTTATATAGTTTTGTTATTACCGTTTTTCAGCCGGTAGAAGGAGCAAGTTACAGTAAATGTTCTTCTAACGAACACGACAATGTTGTATACTATTCAAATGGTATCGTCAACGGTTTCAAATCAACTGAAGATGCCAAAACCAAATAGTTATGGCAATATGAGTAAACGTTCCTAACCGAATGAAGAACAGTTGGCGAATACGACACAATCACCAAAGCACACTCAAACAAAAAATAAACACAATAATATATTATTTAAAATGAATTATTTAAAAAAAAAAAAAAAAAAAAACGTGTATACATCAAACCTTAGGAACCTTTACGTTTGTCAAAGGTATATAAAAAAATAACACAACGATAAACTTATATATATTATATATATGCTATGTTTAAATACATTTAGGTGCAATTTTAATCAAGCATCATTTTTAATATAAATGTATAACAATTGTTTTCTTTCTTAGAATCCAGTATTATTTGAAATGTAATGGTGTGAAAATGTATATAAAGCTTGAAGTTTTTTTATTATTGGTAGGTAAATTTCAGGGGATGGGTTAATTGTATAGTGAATACAAATCTAATTTATACCACATTATGATTGGAATCGGTTTTTAAATGTCAACATTACCATTTAACTTTATAATTTGCCATTAACTGTATTGTTAGTAACAACATATTATGTTTAATACCCATCCCTATGGAATTTTCTCTTGTTTCACTTTATTATACAATTCAGTAAGATTTTGTTAATTTTTAAATTTCAAACGTAACATTAATTATTATATTTAAAAAAAGAAAAAAAACATAAAAAGAAGAACAGTACAAACAATATTACACTTAATTAGAATTATTTTGAAAAATGGTGTTACCTCGTAGGTTATGATTCTTTTTAAATTAGCTTTGTCGGTCTCATGTTTCTGTGTGCTTGTGCGTTTAAATGTACTATATATTGTACATTTAACCATCATACATACACTTCCATTCACATATGAATACATTATATGACGATGAAACAAATGTGAAATTCAATATAACCTTTATAGTTTCAATGATATAGATTGTAAGAATGTGAGGCCATTGTACTTTTCTGAATCAGTGTGTTTTTTTTTTACAATTTAGTCATTATTTTCCTTTTTAATTTTTTTTTTTTGTATGGCTATTAATATGAAAAAGATTTCAGTTTGAAAATCTTTTTAACTTTTTGATATATAAGTGTATTTATTTAAAATTAAAGTAAAAAAAAAAAATTGTAAATCAAAAAAAATTGTTATTTTGCAAAATATAGACTTTTGAAAAAAAAAAATGTGTTTTATTTTTATAAGTGTTAACAATACCTATAGGATTTAGAAATTGGTAATTTTTATAGTATGATAGAATACTTGGACAACCATCAATCCTCCCGATTCAACGAAATTGTAATGAAGGTTACAGCGATAAAAAAAAAAAGCAATCACGAATATAGCGGCCTGTCGTTTTTATTAAATCGCTCGCCCTTGCTTTCGCCAATCGGATTTCCTAATATTACAATAGTTAGTGTGGTCGATTGGCGAGTCTGTTTTACAAGCTCATCCGTGCGTAGTCCTACTGGTTTGAGTCGAAACAATCAACTTGACATTGGTGTGTTCAAAACTTGTCTATGGAAGCGGTGGGGCTTGAACTTCCAAAGTAATACGAACGAAAAAAAAAACGAAATACGCAATGTTTAGATTTTATCTACGGTCAGCGAAACGTTCCAATGGTGCGGATCGCACGTACGGTATTAATGCAATGAAAGTATATAAATCTGTTGTATCGACCGATGTAGACGACTATAGTGTCTATCATCGGGGCTTTGCAACGGAGTCGTTTTCGTGAACATAATGTAACGCGTATTTTTTTGTTTTTTTTATTTAAAAATAATACACCCTCGAAGCCGATTCGTCGACAACAATCCCACGAACGCGTAGTATTCGGTTATTGTAGCGCTTCATTTGTTATTTGTATTTGTATTGCACGTGAAACGTCGGTCGGCAGAGCGGTTATAATGGTTGTTACTTGGACGGTCACCGAACAAGGTAGGGGGGGGAACGAATGTAGTTAGAACGATAAAAACATTCGTTGGCCAGCGGTGTAAATCGTGAACGATATTCGATATCGCACCTCGACTGAGAACCGCGTGCCAAGAGAGCGTGTCGAGTGGCGTTCCGATTAACACCGGACGAGATGGACGGTGTTCGCGTTACGGCTTAGAACACGTCGTCACGGTAACATCGTTTTTCCTGTTTCGCGTTGGGGTTGGTTGGTGCGCCGCGACAAAGGTCACACGGCGCGGCCGTCGGGTGCGTGCCGTGCGCGCGCGCGTAACGAGGCGGTTGGAAAAGTGCACCGACCGGCGGGCGCGCGCAGGTGCACGTGCACGGCGGTTCCGGATTTCAAGGTGGACCGTTTCCATGCGGTCGGCCGTCAAGTGTTGCGCGCGCGCGTGCGTGCGTGCGTGCGTACTCGCCAAACCGCCCATGTCCCGACTCCGTCGTCCAATGTTCGCGCTGACGGTCTATCCTCCGCGAGCTGTTGTCGTGCGCCGAAGGTCCGAGACTCCGGCACTTTTCCGGTAAACGGAACGACGTGCGCGCAGGTGCACCACCGCGGAAAGAATAGCATTTTAATGTTTTCACCCATGCATCGAATTCCCAACAAATTGTTGTCAACATTTCTTTGCAAACGCATTGCGGTTCGTGTTACGTACGAACGGCAACACGTTTACCCGTATCGAACACTACTTACAGCAGACGCGCAGTGTTTTACAATCAACGATTCAAGGCGCTCGATTAACTGCTACGCTATTCCGGATAGGATTGAAAACATAGAGGTGGCTGCGGTACGACGATATCTTACTGCAGTTGTCAAAACTGTAAAAACGTCTCGAGATCATCTGTCTCTAATGGGAACTAGAGAACTGTCACGTTTTCATAGTAATGCAACAATAAGAAGCTGGTACGGGGAACTGATGGACAACCGATGAGGGAACCGTGTGAATATAAGATTATTGTTAGCGACAAGGTCGACAATGTAAAAAACGAAACTTTAAAATCGTACGTCATATCGCCTTAACTGCGACGGACAATACTGATATTCGTTGTGCAAGTCTACATTTTGGAAAAGAAGACGGACCTCGATTACGCGATGAATTAGATTGAGTTAACACCTTGAGAACGTATTCCGACATTTACGTGTAACCCGTAATGGTATATGTAATATGATCTAATATGACCATGTGTGTGTAGTACCGCTTGTGTTATATATATATATATATATATATATGTACCGTGCGAATGAATTGTATAATATAATTTTGTCAGTTTAATATCGTGGGTTTTATAAATCGTAAGTAATCGCGAACGTCGCGTCGTAATATAAGCATAAATGTTTTTGGTATATGCGTATAAATATAAAGACTCGGGACGGTACGACGAGATTTTTTTTCCGGGGACACTTGAGTCGGTCACATTCGTACGACTGTGAGAACTAAGAGTTATCGGCGCGTTGACAAAACTACAGTGCTTTACGCGTGACTTATTACTGACACAACTATACATGATACGTGTAGCCACTCAACAATCCTTTCGATCGATAAATATTCGTTGTATCGAAACCTTGACAGAATATGTGTACGTCGGCAGAGATCCTTGAAATATTATGCATTAACGACTAATGTATAGCAAAATTAAAAAATAACGTATATTTCAAGTTTAAAGTAGATAGACTAAAAAATGTTCAGTGAATGCACCAAGGGTTTATCGGAGTCAAGAGCGTTTCGGAAATTAACGGTTTTTAAATAATGATTCATTTTAACCATGGTGCAGAGAACATTACGCCGATAAAGCGCAGATTAGATCAAACTGTTCTATGTAATCCGTGGTTAAATAGTTAAATCAACTCGTGTCTTATGTATTGCTTAACGTTTTTTTAGACTTTCAGTAACACGAAGAATTTGTAAAATGTTTCAATGATTATTTCCGGTTTCTATAAAAACTGTCATAATACCTCATTAGAACAACAAACCAATGAAGATGAAGTTGTAGAGATCATTTTTAGGCATCCTTAAAAGTTATTTTAATATTTACAATATAAAAATCACCTAATTCTCAGATTTCTGATTTATTTAAATTCCTTTGTTTTGTATTTACGCATTATATTTATGTTGTATAAATGAATAAAAAAAAACTATTTGTAGTCCGTAGATATAATATAACGACAAGTTTTAAATAATATAACAAAATTTATTAACATGTTTTATCACATTAACATAATATTCAATTAGTTTACTCGATTACATGACTTCATTTGGTACATGATGCTAAATGATACTTATATACGGATGGAATTAATCTAATTCATTGTCCGGAAAAACAGGTTTATCTATATTTTTTAATAAAATTATAGGAGATGGGGCAGAGTGTAAATATTTTTTTCCTTAAAATAATTCGAACTAATTTTATTTACTTTTATTTTAAATGTTTTATAAAAACCATCGTCGGCCTAAATCGAAAATATCGTGTCTCTATTACTTTTTTTTTTTAGATTAATTGTATATGAAAAAAAGAGGAGAAAATAAGTCTGCCAATGTAATCGAAACTTCAAATCATAATTTTATCCTCTACGCAGTTGACAAATATAAATCGTCATACCTCAAAGTGCCGTAACTAGTGGTTAGCGACATGGGCGCTTGCCAAGGGCGCAGTAAAGTAAGGGGGGTGTTTGAATTATAGTAGGTTTTTTTTTTATAACATTTCTTTTTCTCGTATATTATTTAAAGTTTTATTAAAATTAAGCATAAATGTATAGTGCACAAACATTACATACTGGATTACGCCTTGATGATGTTTATTTATGTTTACTACTTTTACATTAAATTTTATATTATACATTGATTTATATTATTCTATTTAGCTATATATATTTATTTTAGCCACATGGGCACGAACGACCAGTTTTCCCGATTATTTAACTAATATGACGGCATATATACTTCATAATATAATATCTGTACAAAATTAAAACTTACGTATTATTAACAATCTATTATAAGTCATTAACTATAAAGACTTAATTATTAAAAAAAAAATAAAGCGTTATTTGGATTAACACGTAAGAATGATATATTATTAC